CCAGGAAAAAAAAAAAGTTTAACTCAGGTGTGAATTTTAAAGACATCTCTGTAATATTTTATCTTCTTTTAAAAAAAGAAAAGAAAAGAAAGGAATTAAAAGAAAACAAAACCAAAGTGTCAGTTACTTCCACGGAGTTTCCACATGGGCTGGGCCACTTTACTGACTTTCTCTTTTTTCTTTTTCTTTTCTTTTTTTGAAATATTATCCTTCAAATCTCATTCTTTGTGGGCCAGTGTGTAGAACCAGCCATATCATGAAGCCAAAATGACTACTTTTTAAAAAAAGACTACATATGCAGGAAATGGTTGAGATGCAAAGGAATCTCTATTCTTAAATCAGTTTGTTCTGTGATGAGATGAATGATTCCACTCCTGATCAAAAAGGCTTCAGTTTCAGCGCTGTGCTTTTTATTTTTCTTTATGAGGCAGGGAGGGACTTGAGTGCATGCAACAAAGTGAAGGCTGGAAAATTATTCCGGTTGGTACATGACTTTGTGTTACCCCACTCTTAGCCCCAATTGATGCTAAGAAGTTAATGCAGAGCCCTGAAGAGTTCAGCGTTCCTATGCTTTGGCACAAAATTACCTTGAAGGCAGAGTAGGCAAGAAATTTGTTTCTTCATTTTGTAAGTGAGAAATGCAACCGGTTAAGATCAGATCAGAGGCTGAATAGGTGAAGGCCAGGGCCTCTTTTTTTTCCCCTTCCTTCTTCCCTTCCTTCCTTCCTTCCTTCCTTCCTTCCTTCCTTCCTTCCTTCCTTCCTTCCTTCCTTCCTTCCTTCTTCCCTTCCTTCCTGCCTTCCTTCTTCCTTCCTTCCTTCCTTCCTTCTTCCCTTCCTTCCTGCCTTCCTTCTTCCTTCCTTCCTTCCTTCCTTCTTCCCTTCCTTCCTTCCTTCCTTCTTCCCTTCCTTCCTGCCTTCCTTCTTCCTTCCTTCCTTCCTTCCTTCTTCCCTTCCCTCCTTCCTTCCTTCCTTCCTTCCCTTCTTTCCTTCTTCCTTTCTTTTTTCCTTTGCCAGTCCTGGGTCTTGAACTCAGAGCCTGGGCGCTATCTATTCCTGAGCCTTTTTGTGCTCAAGGCTAGTGTTCTACCACTTGAGCCACAGCCAGTGTCACTTCCAGCTTTTTCTGTGTGGTTTATTGGAGATAAGCGTCTCACAGACTTTTCTGCCCCAGTGGCTTTGAACCAAGATCCTCAAATTTCAGCCTCCTGCGGAGCTAGGATGACAGGCGTGCGCCACCAGCGCCCTGCTATCTCTTATTTCAGGTACCCTACAGGTGGACTAGTTTTTCTCAATGGAAATTAGTAGCTGTTTTAGGCAGAAGGGCATTTAAAAGCTACATATAAGCTGGGCATCAGTGGTTCACACCTGTCACCCTAGCTACTTAGGAGGCTGAGATCTGTGGATCACTGTTAGAAGCATAAGCAGGAAAGTCTATGAGGCTCTTGTTTCCAATTAACACCAAAACAAGCCAGAAGTGGAGCTGTGGCTCAAATGGTAGGGCACTAGCACTAAGCACAAAAACTCAGGGACAGTGTCCAGGCCCCGAGTTCAAGCCCCAGGACACACACACACACACACACACACACACACGCCACATATATTTGGCTTTGGAATATATTGGTACCTTCAGCAAGGAGGTTAAAGGTCATGGAGGCTATTGGGGGGGTGTCATGGGTAATTAAAAATATAAATAGTTATCATTGAGCTATAGGAAATAAAGTTCCTACATATAACAGCTGATGAAAAAAATCTAAGGTTGAGTATTTGTTTCAAATAATAGCATCCTGTGGGAAACCTGGGCAGAAGAGTCAGCTGATCCTGGAACTTGAATGTGGTTCATATGAAAAGTTCTCCCTCATGCCACAAAGTGGAAGGAGGCCTATCAGTAGGGCTTCCCTTGTCAAGAAAAAGTTCTAGTTCAAGGGGTCAGCGGGGTGCAATGGGACATATCCAGAGCATCAGCTATTCAGGAGGCTGAGCCAGAGTAGGCAGCATGAGACCCCAAGTCAAAGAAAGAACAGAATTTTTGGGAGCTACGTATATAGCAAAGAGACAGCAGGAGAGACCGTCAGTGGTGTGGATCTGCCGAGCCTCCCCTGACTCCTAGGCATCCATACCCATGTGCACCCTTCCTGTGTACTAATAGAGACCAGAGCCAACCCTTTCCTGCCACAGATCCGCCCTCTTTGGCATCCTGCTCAGGTGTGCATCTGCTCAGGTGAGTGCTGAAAGTCACCTGCTCGGTCCATGCCCCTAACCTGCCCCTAGGCTAAGCTCAGGATCTCTTAGTTCCCATTGCCTGTTGCCAGGGACATTTGCTGAGCAGAACCCAACCTGTCAGTGAACACCCATCCACCGTTCCTATCTGTGGGAGTCTATAAAAATCCACCATTCCAAGGAGTTCATGGGAAGTCTCTGGGAGCAGAGGTTCTTGACTTCAGTTGCACACAAGCACAACAATGGGGAGCATTGGCAGTGAGTGAGGCCTACACAGAGAGTAGAGTCAGATTGACTTTAGGGGAGGAATTGGGATTCTCAGAGCTCTCCCAATGGCTGTAATGTGTGATGAAGGTGGAAAAGTCCACGTTCACATGCAGATCTGGCAGCTGGTGATGTGCAATCCCAGTGCTGGGGAAGTTGAAGCATGAGGATTGTGAATTCAGGACCAACTTGGTGACATGGTGAGAAGTTGTCTCAGAAAGCAAGATAACAAACTAAGCAAACATGAAGATCGTGCCTTCACAGGACTGGAGTGAGGGACTGAGATTCTATGTTTCTCACAAGCTCCCAAGTGATGTAGATTTTCCTGGTTCATCAGCTCCAGTTGCTCAGCCACATGGCAGGATCCCTCTTGCTACCTACGAAGACTCTTCCTCTGGGTATCAGATGTAGTTCAGGCCCTGGAACAGCACGCTCACTTGCCCTTCCTTCCTTCCTTCCTTCCTTCCTTCCTTCCTTCCTTCCTTCCTTCCTTCCTTCTTTCCTTCCTTCCTTCTTTCCTTCCTTCCTTCTTTCCTTTCCTTTCCTTCCTTTCCTTCCTTCTTTCCTCCCGTCCCCTCTTTCTTTCTTTCTTTTCTGCTGGTCCTGGGGCTTGAACTCAGGGCCTGAGTGCTGTCCTTTATCCTCTTTGTGCTCAAGGCTAGTGGTCAACCCCTTGAGCCACAGTACCACTTCTGGCTTTTTTCTGAATAGTTTATTGGAGATAAGAGTCTCAAGGACTTTTCTGCCAGGTCTGGCTTCCAACTGTGATCCTCAGATTGCAGCCTCTGAATAGCTAGGATTATAGGCATGAGCCACTGTGCCTGTTAAGGAATACTCTTAAGACTTGAGAGCAATAGGTTATCTGAAAGACCCCAGGCAGGTTTTAAAATACAGATTTCTAGCCCCCACGCCCAACCTACCAAGTCAACTAACTCACACATTCAAGGTGAAGTCTGCATAGGGTGTTTATTCTTATATTATTAATTTTATTTTTTGCCAGTCCTGGGGCTTGAACTCAGGGACTGGGCACTGTCCCTGATCTTCTTTGTGCTCAAAGCTAGTGTTCTATCTCTTGAGCCACAGTGCCATATCAGGCTTTTCCTGAGTAATTTATTGGAGATGAGCTTCACGGACTTTTCTGCCTGGGCTAGCTTTGAACCATGACCCTTCATTAAAGGTGTGAGCCACCATTACCTGGCTTATTAAATTTTTATTGTTATTATAAAGGTTATGTACAGAGGGATTATAATTACATAAGTCAGGTACAGAGTACATTTCTTCTTTTTGTTGGTCCTGGGGCTTGAACTCAGGGCCTAGGCACTGTTCCTGAGCTCTTTCACTCAAGGCCAGCGCTCTACCATTTTGTGCCACAGTACCACTTCCAGTTTTTAATTGGGGATAAGAGTCTCATGGACTTTCCTGCCTGGGCTGGCTTTGAACCGGGATCCTTAGGTCTCGGCCTCCTGAGTAGCTAGGATTTCAAGTGTGAGCCACCAGCACCCAGCAAGAGTACATTTCTCATCCAATTTTTCTTTCCCATCCCTACCCACAAAGTTGTATAGTTCATCTTCCACATAGTGTCTAGTGAGCATTTGTTCACCCTTGGTCCTTCCATTTCTGGGTAAACAAACACACTGCATGGGGTGTTTTGAAAGCAGTACAGATGATCAAGAAGCATCAGAGATTACACTATCCTGTTGATGGCTGGGGACCAGTGGCTCATGTCTATAATCCCAGCTACTCAGGAGGCTGGTATCGGAGGAGAGCAGTTCAAAGCCAGCCTTGGCAAGGAAGTCTGTGAGACTTCTTACCTCCAATTAACCACCAAAAAAAAGTTGGGAGTGAAGCTGTGGCTCAAGCCTTGAGCAAACAAACAAAAAAAAGCTCAGCGACAATGCCCAGACCCTGAATTGCAGCCCAGGTACCAGCACACACACACACACACACACACACACACGTTAAATATATATATGTATGTATGTATGTATATAAAGTTGACTGCCCAGTGGGCATACCCAAGCAGGGGTTCTTCTTAAGCCTTTGGCTTCACCGCCCAGTTGGAGATGGCGCTCATAGGAGGCTAACCTTTACTCCCCACCCTGAGCTGTTCCCTCTTGGTGCTGGCGTCCCCCCTCCCAATCAGGCGGGAGGACGAGGACTGGCAACGCGCGTAGTAGGGGGGCGCGAGCACTTAGTGGGCGCTGGGAAGGCTCAGCGATAAGCCGCTCCACCCGGGGAGGACGGCAGGTCGGGACTTAGCCAGCCGGCCGCACAGGAAGGCCGCAGCCCGCAGGCCCAGGGTGCCCGCCGGGTCACCGGCCCCGCCCCGAGCCCGGGGACCCTCGGCCCGGCTCGCGGGCCTTCCCGGGCCCTGCGGCGCCTGTGCGCTCCGTCCTCCCCGCCAGCAGGCGCCCCCAGACCCCCGGCTCTCCCTCCTCCTCCCCCCCTCCGCCTCCGTCACAGCCCGGTCCTCCCCCCCACCCCCCTCCGCCGCTTCCTGTCGCCGCGATCGCGGCCCCGGGCTGTGGGCGCCGCGGGGCCGGAGGCTTCCCGTGCGCTCCGCCAGGTAACGGCACGCGCCGGGGCCGGGTGGGCAGCGGCGGGCGGCGGGCAGCGGGGCCCGGGCCGGCCCCGGGGCCTCTGGCGGGGGGACGGAGGCGGGCGGGCGGCCAGGCCCGGGGCGGGCGGGGCTCCTCCTCGCCCCGGGGCCTCTCGGGGCCGGCCCCGCGCCACGCGGGGTTCGCGCTGCGCGGGATCCCTGCCCGGGGGCCGGGCGCCGGGGCCTCCCCGGAGGAGGGGCGCTGGCGGGGGGGGGGGCTCCGCGCGCCCCGCGCCCGGCCAGGCCCGGCCCACCCCACCCATCCGGGACCTCGAGCTCCCCTCCCCCGTGACCCTCCCCTGCCCTCCAGACTCGCTGTCCCCAAGGTCACCTCGCCGCGTCCGCCGCGGGGCTGCTAAATGGGCCTCTGTTCTCGGCGTGGAGCGGGGGATTAAGATGCAGGGAACCCCGAAAACACTGACCGGCCTGCGCGGCCAGCCCGCGCCAGCCCGCGCCCCCCTTTCACGCTGGGCCCCTGCCGTCTCTGGTGCTCTCTTGGCAGCTTGGCCTAGAAGTTTGTGCAAGGTTTACCCCAGAGCTGGGTCGGACCCGGACCTCCCCCATTCCCCCTCCTGCTTTTGTGTTTGTGTGTCTGTGTGTTTGTGTGCGTCTGTGTGTTGTCTGTGTGTTTGTGTGTGTTGTCTGTGTGTGTTTGTGTGTCTGTGTCTTGTTTGTGTGTCTGTGTGTGTGTCTGTATTTGTGTGTTTGTGTGTGTGTGTGTTGGGGAGGGACAAAAATAAAAACCCAGAGCTTTTCCGGTGAAAGGTGATTTGAGCAGGCTGAGAGCACTCAGGTCCTGGAAACCTGATTTCAGAGGCCAGCCGGGCAGAGCCTGACCTTCGTAAAGGCCTCTCAGATAGCATTCTTGGGAGTGGCTTGTGTATTGAAGTGTGTGGGTCTACAGATACGATTTCATCTTTCCCAATGGGGGCCGAGTGAAGGGGCAGCCATGCAGAAAATTCCTGCGGAGATGAGACAGATGTCTGAAGTGTTTGGGACTTTTGAAAATCAGTACTTCCAACACAGGAGCTAATGAATATTAAGAATGACATCTTGGCCAATGTTGGACCCTGAATTCTTTATGGCTACTTGTGACTCAATTTTAGGTGTGTTTTGTTTTGTTTCTTTTGTCCACATGTCCACAGTAAAAAAAAAAACAACAAAACAAAACAAAAAAAACAAAGTATAACTTAACTTTGTTTCCGTTTTTACTCAATAATTGCCTTGGAGATATTTTTGTATTGTAACCTTATTCTCCTCTTATACCCCAAAGTCGTCAGTTTCCCCATTGGTAAATATTTGAATTGGATTTCTGGATAGGAGTAGGGCTTCCCTCCTCCCCTACTCTGAGCTGTCTGGACTTTTTTGTTCTATATTTAGGTTGACCTCAAGTTTTGATTTTGACTGATACAACAATGACCCTAGTCCAAACATCAGCTGAATTTAGTTTCAGCTGAAAACCACATTAATCTGACCCATGTCACATGACTTCTAGTAAAAACCAAAATAATGTTGTTGTTGTTATGAGAGCTTTGCTTTTTCTTTTTCCTTTCTTCTTTTTTGGTGATGTTTGGGAACTGGGCCTCCTGCAGGCTAGGTAGGTGCTACAAACTCTTTAGTATTTTGAGGTTGCTTAAGCCTCACAAAGTTGCCCAGGCTGCCTTAAATTTAGGATCCTCCTGCCTCTGCCTGCAGGCTAGCTGGGATTATAGACAGGCACTACCACACACCCAGCTTGCGTTGGGAGTTTTGAAATGTGAAGATGTTAGTAGATACCTGTGCTTTGTTATCTGTGTATTGTTGCCCACAATCAGGCCTTGCTGATTAAAACTGACATTTGCTCATTATCTCTATGTAGTGTGATGTTGGACAACCTACTCCGAGTACACAACTTGGAGTGTACTTCCTAGTTTCCACTTGCCAGCCTTTGCCAGTTGCCAACATGTTATCTCCAAGGATCCTGGAGTGATAAATGTGGACGAACTTAAATAGAGGGTTCTCGGAGATTGAGGATTCTATGTAGATAGGGAAGACGTGTTTCCCTAAAGGCCCTGTGCCAACTGTTCCACAGTAGAAATGCAGACATATACAGAAGGCCGGCTGCTGCTGTCTCTTAGGGCACAGTCTTTCTTTCTTTTCTTTTTTTTTTTTTTTTTCAGTCCTGGGGCTTGAACTGAGGGCCTGGGCTCTGTCCCTGAACTTCTTTTGCTCAAGGCTAGCACTCTACCGCTTGAGCTACAGTGCCACTTCCGGCTTTTTCTGTGTATGTGGTACTGAGGAATTGAACCCGGGGCTTCATGCATGCTAGGTGAGCACTCTACCACTAAGCCACCTTCCCAGCCTTAGGGTGCATTCTTGTTTGTCTGGTTTTGGTCTTTTCATCATAGGATGGCATTAGCTCTGTGTCTGCAGGTGCTGGGCAGCCTGTGCGGCTGGCTGTTGCTCTATACGTCTTTCTGCTGCCTGAATAAGCACCGAAGCTATGAGTGGAGCTGCCGGCTTGTGACCTTCACCCATGGAGTCCTCTCCATAGGCCTCTCTGCTTATATTGGCTTCATTAACGGCCCTTGGCCCTTTACCCACCCAGGTAGGTGGGGAACATTAGAGATTTGTCATTTGGGGATAGAGCAAGAATGGGACTTTTATGTTTAAATTATTGCTGTATAATATTCAAGACTAACTCCCATTCTAATTTGTATTGTAATCTTCCCTCTTTGTTTCTACTCTGATATTATATATGGCACCTTGTGTTTCTGCTTTTTTAGAACTTTACTCTGTGTATGTGTATGTGTGCATGCTGGTTCAAATAGGTCTCAAACTTGGGGCCTTGAGCTTTCATCTAACTTTTTTGCTCAAAGCTGGCATTCTACCTTGAATCATACCTCTGCTTTGGGCTTTTTGCTGATTAATTGGTGATAAGAGTCTCTGGAATTTGTCTTCCCCAACTGGTTTTGAAGCTCAATCCTCAGCTCTCTACCTCCTGAGTAACTAGGATTACAGAAAAGAGTTACCAGGGCCTGGCTTGTCATTCTACTTGTAAACCAAATTTGAGATGGCTTGTTACAGTTTGCTCAATTTGAAGTATAGAGCCAATATCAATATCTTCTATTACCCCAAACAGATGCCAATAGAACTGCATTGTACATATTAAACTTTCTTGGTAACTTTCCATTTTTCCTTCATCACATAATACATTGGAGAGATCTTTGTTCTTTCTTCACTCCTTTGTTTGCTTCTTTGTTTGCTTTTCCTCATCCTTTCTAATTATGACAGAAGACTGGGTTGTGTGAATTCACCTGTGGATGTGAATCATGGCAATGTGGCTGTTATCATTAAGAACCTTGTGCCTGCTTTGTTCTCTGGCCTTGGGAGGTTTAATGGGTTTGAAAGTCAGTGATGTAAGGATCCCTGGGCAGGGGGTGCCATTCCCAGGCACTTAATTTGCTCCTGTTTCCCCCCACCCCCAGGCTCACCCAACACACCTCTCCAAGTTCACGTGCTGTGTCTGACCTTGGGCTACTTCATCTTTGATCTGGGCTGGTGCATCTACTTCCGGTCTGAGGGTGCCCTGATGCTGGCTCACCACACCCTGAGCATCCTGGGCATCATCATGGCCTTGGTGCTGGGGGAGTCGGGCACCGAGGTCAACGCAGTCCTCTTTGGCAGCGAAATCACCAACCCTTTGCTACAGATGCGTTGGTTTCTCCGTGAAACAGGGCACTACCACAGTTTCACAGGCGACGTGGTGGACTTCCTCTTCGTGGCTCTGTTTACTGGTGTGAGGATTGGGGTAGGGGCTCACCTCCTTTTCTGTGAAATGGTCTCACCCACGCCCAAGTGGTTTGTGAAGGTTGGTGGAGTAGCCATGTATGCCGTGTCCTGGTGTTTCATGTTTAGCATCTGGCGTTTTGCGTGGAAGAAAAGCATCAAGAAGTACCATGCGTGGAGAAGCAGGCGGAGTGAGGAGCGGCAGCTAAAACACAATGGGCATCTCAAGACGCATTAGCCGAGGCTTAATTCCCAGGATGGATGGGGTTGAGTCAGCCATGGAAACTGGGTCACACACAGGACTGTGATGGAGCCATGCTTATAACACACTTAGGTTTACAAAAAAAAAGGGCTACGTTTATTGATCACTTTGATCAGTGTTCCAGCCAGGCAAATGTAGTATTCACACTACTTTCTGCAGTGTGGAAAGTAAGTTAGGGAAGTTGTTCTAGAAGGCAACCTTAGGTCTTTTCTATTGCTTGGGAACCTTGGTATTCAGACAGCTTCGAAAGGAACTTGAAAAAGATGAGTGCCCTCTCTTGTTCCTTTAGAAGACGCTCCTCTAACACACACTCATCTCTGCTTTCTGTGGAGCAATTTTCGTGTACCCTACGTGTTATGAAAGGAGTGTGCTCTGGAGGAAGCAGGCCTTTGATATCAGAGTGCTCCGTCTAGAGGCTCCACGAAAGCAGGTCTGCTTGAACAAAGAGGAACAGAAGGATGGGGGTGAATCTGGCACTGGTAGGAGGTTGTCTACCACCTTAAAAAAACTTTTATTTTTGTTTTTTAGGTAAACAGTAAATTTATTTGAAAGTGAAAGGAAAGTAGCTGCAGAAACTTCATTAGGTGAGGGGGCTCCCAAAGAGGAGTCCCCCTTTTAAATTTGGTTTTGAGACAAGCATCTTTCTATGGAGCCCAGGCTGGTCTTAAACTCATGATCATTCTGTTTCAGTCTCTTAGGTGCTGGGATTACAGGTGTGCTACACCATGCCTGGCTCCTTTTAGTCTTCTTTCTAATGAATCTCCCCTATACTCACTTGTAGTCTAGGGTCCCGAAGACCATTTGCAGGCTCTATGGTTTGCTAGGGGGACTCAGGGCTCAGCAGATAATCTTACAGTTTTGAATTATGACAGTGAGAAGAAAGAAAGAAAAATCACCAAAGGGGAAAAGTCCATGGGGCAGAGTGTAAGGCACCAGCTTCTAGAATCCTTTCCCATTTGGCTCATACAGGATGAGCTTATGACTGTTAGAAATGTTGCTTACCAGGGAACATCAATAAAGTCTCAGTGTAAGGCTTTTTTTGGCAGAGGTGGGGAGGGAACAGGTTCTTCCTGACACATAGCAAAAATCATCGATTCTCTAGAGCAATATATGTGTTCGGCATAAGCCATATTGTTGGGGCAGACCATTTAGGCTCAGTGAACTAGAGTAAGTAGTGGTGAGAACCCTTCTGTAATACCTACCCAGATACCAGCCGCAGGCCAACCCTGTAAGCAAGGCTTTTCCAAGAATGGCAGTACAGGCCAGCTACATCAACTCTTTTGTGCACGAAACCCATAGAACTAGTGCTTTTGACGCAAGATGAATGAGGTGCGGGTAGACTTACCGAGTCCTGTTGTACAGGTTCTGCCCGACCAGGAAAACTATGCCAGTTCTCAGGGCTTTTGTGTATTAATCTCCTAGGCATGAGAGGCCATGACTAAATTCCATAGGGATTTACCATGTGGATTCCACTGGGCTTGAGATGGGAGTTCATGTTTCAGCTGGGCTGTAGGTATTGCAAACAAAAACCAAAGACATTAAATGCTGACACTGGCCTCAGAGAGATGAGGCTAATTCATCCTTTCCTTCCTCCCTCCCTCCCTCCCTCATCTTACCCTGTCTCCCTTTCTGTTGCACTTCAACTATATTCCTGTTTTAGCGCTTTCTTTGCTTTTCACTTTGTGTGTGTGTGTGTGTGTGTGAAAATACTGTACAGAGGGGTTACAATTACATGGGCAAGATAATGAGTACCTTTCTTATCAAGCATTGTAGCCTCCTCCTTTGTTTCCCCTTTCCATCCCTTCCCATCTCCCCCCCCCAGGTCTACCCCCCCCCCAAAGTTGTGAAGTTCGTTTTCACTTTTTTTTCTTGAGATAGGTTCTCACTATGTAACCCAGGCTGGCCTCAAACTTATGATCTTGCCTCAGCCTCCTGGGTGCTGAGGTTACAGGTATGTGACATCATGTCTAGCTCCGGTTAGTCCTCTTCCTACTTGTTCTCCTTTCTCTAAAATAGGTGCCCCTCTAAGGACAAACTAATGTGACAAGGACAGAAGTACAAGGGGAAAAAAAGTATTTCTTAGGGAGATCATCTCCAATGTGCTGGTGGCAGAGACAAGAATACAAGCTTAGAATCAAGAATTATTTTTTTACGTTTAACTTATTCTGCTATTCACTTCCCAGATCATTTGTGTAGACTACTTATTTACTCTTGTTCTCAGATTAAACCTGTTGAGAATGAAATACCCTGTGCATATTCCATAGAGGTACTATGTAGGTTTTTTTAACTCTTTAATGTAGGGGGTTTTTCATTTTTTGAGATGGGTCTCACTATGTATACAATTTAGCCCAAACTGGTGATTCTCCTCCCAAACCTGGGATTACAGGTGTGCCTGGCTCTAATGTAAGGCTTTCATGAAAAAGTGAAGTATTATTTATTTATAGATTTATTGCTTACTTATTATTATTTTATTATTTACCATGTTATTTAGACCAAGATGACTGGTTAGCTCAGTTGGTAAGCTAGCAAATGGTGTGACTGAAGGTCAAAGGTTAGTAGGAAGTGTCAGTCCATTCTGTTGGTCACTGGGAATCTGAACCTATTCAGTGATCTTGAGAACAGTGTCTTTGGTTCTAGAAACCAGACGTGAGGGAGTGGCTGGATGCAAAGGGAAAAAGCAGGCCAAAATGAATGTTAACCATCAGACTTGGAGAATGAGTAACATTTGGTTGAAGAGTTTTGTTGGGCATTGGAAGTACCCAACAGGAATGTCCACCTCATTTTCTATGATTCGTGTCCCTAATAGGGTGCCAGAAAAACTGTGCATTCTGATGTCAAGACTGGGAATGCTGACTTAAGCAAAAGCCTAGTAAAAACAGTGCTGTGGCCCATGAGTTAAATAAATAAAAATATATAGAGAGAAAGCTTGTTCTTGAATTTTGGCTTAGTGCAACCTGTTCCACACCACACAGGTGAACAGGCTTAATCCAGTACCAGCACTTTGCTCTCTTTCCCCCTCAGAAGTGAAAGGATTGCAGATCTGCCTATTTAGGGCACACTGATGTGAAGCATAAAAGAGTCTTACAGACTTTCCTGTCCAGGCTGGCTTTGAGCCTCAATCCTTAGATATCAACCTCCTGAATAGCTAGGACAACAGGCGTGAGCCACCCAGTGCCCAGCATTTTTTTTTTTTTTTGAGAAACTGGAATAAATGCTAAGGGGAAGGGGACCTCATTTCAGCTTTGTTGATGTGATAGTTAATAACTATGAAGAAACTTCTCTGAGAGAAAAAGATGACTCAGCAGGTGAGATGTTGCGTTTTTTACAACACAGGAAAAAGTAAGGGCCAATTAACCTGTGGTATGGCCAAACAAAAGAAATAAGTCGTTTGCATTTGAATTACTATGTAATAGCAAACTGCTCAAGAAGGATTTATATTTCAACACGATTTGTACTGAATTTTCTAAGAATAAAGTAACTTCTTATAAATACAGAGTCTGACTTTTAATTTGTCTCGTGATTTTTGTGAAGAAGCTAAAAAAAAAAAATATGCCTTAGGCTTGTGGAAATGTTGACCTCTATCCACACTTCCTGGTACCATTAGTCTGCTATTGAGCATTAATCATTTCTACCATTCTTTGTTTGCTTTTGTATTGGGATGACAATCAACATACTGAAAATATGTTTACCTTTTCAGTATGTAGTTTGTCTAAAGAGGAAGAAGTTAATTCTTCTTGGTTCTGCTGCCTTGGAAATGATGGCATGAATTAGTGTCAGGAGACAGCTTCTGGCTGTCCTGTGACCTGGGTTTCTAATGCCTAAAAGAGACTTGGCACACAGTAGGTTCATTAGTTGCAAGAGTGCTTAAGCAAACTAACTGGCAAACACCCTTGCCAGAGAACTTGCCAGTGGATTGGCTCTTTGGTGCCATTTTTTTTTAAAGTATGTGTGCCAGTACTGGGGCTTGAACTCAGGGCCTAGGTATTGTCCCTTAGCTCTTTTGTTCAGTGCTAGTGCACTACCATGTGATCCACAGCCCCAATTCTGGCTTTTAGCTGTTAATTGAAGGTCAGGGTCTCAGACTGTCCCAGCCTGGCTGGCTTTGAATAAGATGCTCAGATCTCAGCCTCCTTAGTAGCTAGGATTACAGGTGTGAGTTGCAGGAGTCTGGACCAGTGACACTTTATTACGTACAGGACTGTAATCTGGGAATTGGTCTACGTAGGCAGCCCCACTCTCCAGAAACCATTTATCCCATAGGCAAAAACTAGAACAGCCAATAGATGTAAAGTGGTTTTCTCACATTTGTTTCTTTTTAAATTAGTAGTGTCTTGGATGTGACTATGGAGATTTTAATCATTAAAAAAATTAGCTTTAGAATAAGTAAGTTAAAAAAAATAGCTCTGAAGCTGGGCACCAGTGGCTCACATCTGTAATCCTAGCTACTCAGGAGGCTGAGAATTGAGGATATTGGTGCAAAGCCAGTCCATAGAGAAAAATTTCCACTTAACCAGCAGAAAGCCACAGGTAGAGGTATAGCTCAAGTAGTAGAGTGCTGGGCTTGATCAGGAAAAAAAAAAAATCAAGAAATCCAGGCCTGGAAGTGGAGTTGTGGCTCAAGTGGTAGAACACTAGCTTTGCACACAGAGAAGCTCAGGGACAATGCCCAGGCCCTGAGTTCAAGCCCAATGACTGACAATAAAGAACCCCAAAACCAAAAAATAAAGGGCACTGACATGGCTGGGAATGTGGCTTAGTGGTAGCGTGCTTACCTAGCATTCATGAAGCCCTGGGTTAGATTCCTCAGTACCACATAAACAGAAAAATCCAGAAGTAGCTCAAGTGGAAATGATAGAGTGCTAGCTAGCCTTGAGCAGCAGAAACTCAAGGACAATGCCCAGGTCCTGAGTTCAAGCCCCAGGACTGGCAAAAAACAAACTCCAGGCCCTGAGTTCAAGCTAGAGTACCAGCACACACACACACAAAAGATGAGACACATAACAAAAAAAGCCCCTTAGTTCTGCAGTGAATAAGTTCTGCTTATTCAATCCTTTGCTTACCATCCTCTGAAGCTTTCCCACAGTAAAATGCCCTCTTTGCTAGATCCTGGGGCCTGTTAAATTTGGAAAGATCTTGAAAGCAGCTTGCCAAGAGGTTTTGTATGCAAGGGAGAGAAGGTGAATTGGGAAACATTCGGGGTTTGTTTTATTCCAAGCTTAAGTACAGAGGCGCACTTGAAGGGTAAGAGGAGAACTCATTTTAAGAGGCATGGTTGGATGAGTCATTGGGTCTCAGTCAATTGATAGTGACATTGTAACATTATTAAGATAGGGAACAGTAAGACGTGGGCGCACTGGAGAAAGCATGAGTAGATCGGGGATAAGGCTCCCATTTGGCTTCTTGAGGGTAAAGGCACGGACCTCCTTCCACTTCAGAGAGGGAGAAGCAGCTTCATTCCTCTTCAGCTCGGAACATGCCGGGACCCACCAGCGGGTGGCAGTGCGTCCAGGTCCGCTCATTCGGAAACTCGCTTGGAACTCTTAATCTGCTTCTATTCTTTCCAAAAATAAACATGACAGAATTAGCTGGCTGGGCCCCGAACCTAAAGCAAATCCAGCAGGAAAGGGAGTCATCTTTGGTCTCCGTTTACTCTTCCCTTCTATTACGATCACTGCTTTTTACCGGTCTCTAGGTCCGCCTGAGCCCACGCCTCCAGGCAGGGGTCCCGAACCGCTGTGCAATGACTTTCCAACCAGCACCCGGAGCGAGGTAATTATTTCCTCTCCACAGCCAGGGTGGATGAGATCTGACTACAAAATGGCTGAAGTCCCTTTACCTCCGACCCGGTGGAGGCTCAGCAACCTGGAAACGGGATGGAAAGCAAAGCCATCTTAGTTGCTGGAGGTAGAATTAGAGAGCCCGGCCGGACCCGGCCCTTCCCCGGCTCCACCACAAAACGAGACGCGGGGCTCGATGTCTACCGATCCGAAGACACGAACGGAAAGGCAGGGCGAAGAACTGGAGCGCTTCCGAGACCGTGTTCCCTGCCTACAAGGACCTGTGTTTTCTTTCCTCAAACTTGAGTCGCTGTGGAAAGCACCATGCTTTCTCCATTTGGCAAATGAAACCTTTCGTGTTTGCCAAGGCGAAACAGCCTCAAGGCGATATTTACACCGAGAAATCCCGGCTCCAAGTCCCCCCCCCCGCCCCCGTCCCGGCTCCAGGTCCCCCCCCCCCGCCCCCGTCCCGGCTCCAGGTCCCCCCCGCCCCAGTCCCGGCTCCAAGTCCCCCCCCCGCCCCAGTCACGGCTCCAAGTCCCCCCCCCCGCCCCAGTCCCGGCTCCAAGTCGCCCCCCCAGTCCCGACTCCAAGTCCCCCCTCCGTCCCGGCTCCAGGTCCCCCCCCCGGTCCGGGCTCTAAGTCCCCCCCCCGTCCCGGCTCCAAGTCCCCCCCCCAGTCCCGGCTCCAAGTCCCCCCCAGTCCCGGCTCCAAGTCACCCCCCCCCCGTCCCGGCTCCAAGTCCCCCCCCCCGTCCCGGCTCCAAGTCCCCCCCCCCAGTCCCGGCTCCAGGTCACCCCCCAGTCCCGGCTCCAGGTCACCCCCAGTCCCGGCTCCAAGTCCCCCCCCCGTCCCGGCTCCAAGTCCCCCCCCCCGCCCCAGTCCCGGCTCCAAGTCCCCCCCCCAGTCCCGGCTCCAAGTCCCCCCCCCGTCCCGGCTCCAAGTCCCCCCCCCAGCCCTTCCCCCCCCCCCAGTTCCTCAGGCTCCAGGCCTGGAGCCCTGCGGCCCGGGGCGGGGTCAGGCGAGCAGGTGCCCAGGTGAGGCGCCAGCGCCCTAACCCCGTCGGAGTTCTGGGGGGGGGGCGGCACGTCAGACGCCCGGCCCGGAGCTCGCGCCCCGCAGTCCCGTATCCCAGCAGCGCCCCTCGCCCTGCCTTAAGGAACGAGACTCTCCCGGTTTTGGGGGGGTTGGTGCCACTCTCATCGGGAATGGGGGCTCGTTGTGGGAGGTGCAGGTTCACAGCCAGACACCGAAGCGAGCACTCGCGGGCCCCCCGGGGCCCCAGCCCGGCCGCTGGGGGCCTCCGGCCTCCGCCCCCAGAACTACTTTTCCTGGGGCCCTGCAGCTGGGCTGGGCGGAGGCGTCCGCGCGGGGGCGGCGGGGCCGGGGCGGCCCGTGCGAGCGGGCGGCGGGCGCGGGGCGCGGGCGGCGCCGCGGAGGGATCCGGGCGGGGTGAGGCGGCTCCCCGAGTCCGAGGGAGGAGTCCCCCCTCCCCAAAAGGCGTCGGAGGGGAGGGGAGAGCCCGCCCGCTCGCGCGCCCGGGACGCGCCGGGGCCGGGAAGGCAGAACCGGAACCGGAACCCGCGCGCGGGCCCGCAGCGGCCGCCCGCCCCGCCCCTCCCCGCCTCCCCCTCCCCTCCCCCGCCCGCCGGCGCCGCCTCCGCCCTGCGCGCGCGCCCGTGAGGCCCCCGGGACCCGGCGCCGGCCCCGCGCTCGTCGCCGCCCGCCGCTGCCGCTCTCCACGCCGGGCTTCCAGGCCGGACCAGACCGGGCCGGATCGGACCGGGACGTCCCGCTCCCCGCCGAGCCGCCGCCTCCCGGAGCGTCGGGGCGGAGCCGCCGCCGCCGCCGCCGCCGCCCGCGCCGCCTGAGGAAGAGTCCGGGCCCCCGCGGGATGCGGAGCCGCCCGCGGCGCTGAGCGACCCGGTCCTGTCAGCGCGGGCCGCGGGGCCGACCCTGCCCGCCGCGCCCGCCGCGCGGCCCGCAGCCCGGGGGAGGGGGGCGGCCAGGACGACCAGCGGGGCCGCGGGCCCGGCGACATGGGGCGGCGCCAGCCCGGCACGGGACGGCCCGAGACGCGGCCGAGGCTGCGGCCACCCGCCGCCCGCGGCAGCGCCAGATAGAGCCGCGCGGACCCAGGCCCGGCGCCGCGGCTCGGGTCCGGGGGCGGACGCGGTCCCCGCGCGGACCCCGCCGGCCCGGCCCCGGCCCCGCGGACTCGCAGGCTCCCTCCGCCACCGAGGCTTCTTTCTCCCCGGGAGGACTCGGCGCCAGCTCCGGAGCTCTCCTTCCGGCCGACTCTCCGGGTTGTTTTGGGAGGGGGAGATCGCTCGCCCCGCTTCCACCCGCACCCCCTTTTTTTGCCCCCTCCCTTTCCAGTCGGATGTTCTAGATGACCGAATGGAGTTTTGAGCTGGACTTTTGTGTCCCTGCCGGAATTGGGCCTGATCCCAGAGGACTGGGGGTGGGGTGGGGGTGCTGCTGTAAAATGCAAGTTGGATAGGAGGAGGACCTCGCGCCCAGGGCCCCAATGAGTGGCACACAGTCTACTATCACCGACAGGTGGGTACGAAGTCCCCCCTTCCACCCCCCCCTCCCCCCCGCCGGCTGGGTCCTGCCCAGCCTGATCGCCCAGCGACATTGACAGGCCTCAGGAACCGGGGTGCCAAGGCACCTGGTGGGCTTCAGTTTGGAAACTGTGGTTTTGCTGCTGCTGGTGGTGCTTTTTGTTTTTGTTTTTTTTTTTTCCTTCCCAGAAAAGTTGCCCCTGTTTTCAGAGAAGAGATAGGGGAAAAGCACGATTGTGGGGGTGCAGTCTGCAAATGCGAATTAGGGCCAAGTAACTCGACTTGGGGAAGGTCATTTTGGGTGAAGGTCAGTGGCTGAGTTGGTCTTGTGGGTTTCGGGGTGTCAGCGGGCTGCCTCCTGTCCAGCGATAGTTCTCTCTAGAGAACACTGCAGAGATTGCTGTCTGTGAACTTAAGTTTCAGCCTGCTGCTGCTGCTGGGTGCTTTGTGAATTTGATCTCCCCGGTTAAGTGTCGACCTGCACAGTGTCTATTAATTATCTAATAATTTTCCCGAATGTTGACATTACCAGTAAATCACAGGCTCTTGCTGCAGGCAGTCTCCAGGAGCTGAAAGAAATGAGGGGAAATCAGCTTGCTTGCTTTTAATGATGCTATTTTAATATTTTATCCTTCAGAAACACTGGCATTTAGGGGATGGGAGCCGTAAGAATGGTTCAAGCAAGACAGGTGGAAGGTTTTTTTTTTTTGTTTTTTTTTTTGGGTCCGGTCGTGGGGCCTGAACTCTGGGCCTGGGTACTGTCTCTCAGCTCTTCAGCTCAAGGCTAGCACTCTACCACCTGAGCCACAGCGCCACTTCCAGCTTCTTTCTTTTTGCTTATGTGGTGCTGAGGAATCGAACCCAGGGCCTCATGCATGCAAGGCAAGTGCTCTACCTCTGAGCCACCTTCCCAGCCCAACAGGTGGAAGGTTTGATAGTTAGCGGGGCATGGCGATGTTTGTTCATGGGCCTTTGGAGCCCCTCCAGCCTCCACAAGTAGATTCCCTTCCTCTCCTTAATTCGATTGAATAGGTTTAAGTGGCAAAGGGGTAATGGTTTCTATAGCACACTTTATTTCTCAATTTAATCGTGATGCTGTATGTTAGGCCCTAATTTTAGGCAGCTAACATTATTTTAAGTCAACATTCAAACTATTACATCATTAAAAAAAAACAGATAAAATAATTGAATTTCAAGGCCAAAGCCCTTTGAAGAAAAGTCTAGAAGCGCTCCTTTGGAAAGTAGCTTAATTTCCAAATAAGAGAGTTTCACCCAAGTGAAAGACTGTTGATTTTAAAAGGGCCAAATTCCATTATCATAGCATAACAGCTACTTTAGAAGCAGAACTTCCTCTTCCTGTTGATGCTTTCCAGTGTCACATGAGTGTTCACCTAAAATATTCCATTAAATATTTAAACGATTTATGGTCACCCTTTATTTACACACTTTGTGAAATGGCTGTTCATTTCCAGTGAGCTGATTTTTAACTTCTCTGAAGATCTATGTCACATGAGTCATACAGTGCTTTCCTTGTTCCCCTCCCGATCTCTCCTCTTTTTCTGTTCAGGGTCTTTGGCTCCTGATTAGTCACTTTCAAGGGTTTTGCTGGTTGTTCAGTTTGTGCCCTTGAACCTGTAGGCAAGAAATCTTGCCTAGGAACTGATGTGTTGATTTTCATTGAGATGCTTGGATTTACCGTACAGAAGTGAGGGGCACCAGCTCACTCCACACAAAAGTCACTATGTGACTTTTCAGATCTGAATAATGATTTTCTTCAGCTGTGCATTTCAGGGATTTTCTTCTTCTTTCTGTTGGAATAAAATACTTAGATTTGAGTCTTTTTATGGTTTAGCATAAAAATGTGATTATTGAAAACTTGCCCCCCCAAAAGAAAAATGGCTTTGATTTATTCGTATATTTATGCAACAGCAGTAAGTGTACATTATATGAAGTCAGGTATTGTATAGTGGCTTTTAATGCTGGGAAAAAGTAGTTCACATTGGTGAAGGGAATCAGTTTGACTAAATGTTTATAATAATATCTTGTGGGGTAAGGCTGAAAAGATAATTTCTCAGTTGAAACCTCTACCTAGTTACATTAGGCAACTATTCCATTTAAAGCAAGACCACCAAATAAAAAGGCATTAGCTCTTGCAACTGATGGAGAACCTGCTCTTCATCAAGCATTGATTGAAAGATTGAGCAGCAAAATGCACTGGGGATTAATATTTTTGAATTGGTTCAGATGCTGTCTAACTCCTCTCTCTCTCTCTCCCCCCTCTGTCCTCCTCTCCCTCTCCCTTTCCCTCTCTCTCCCCCTCTCTTCCCCATTTCTCCCCCCTCCCTCCACTCCCTCCCCTCTGCCCCTCCCTCCCTCCCTCCCTCCCTCCCTTCCTTCCTTCCTTCCTTCCTTCCCTCCCTCCCTCCCTCCCTCCCTCCCTCCCTCCCTCTCTTCCTTCCTTCCTTCCTTCCTTCCTTCCTTCCTTCCCTCCTCCCGTAATGAAAGTTAAAGAGAAGTCACTTAATTTTGTTGAGATCTGTTTCTTAGGAATTTATTATTGTTATGTTTTCAGTTTTTATTTTTTGGCAGTGATGGAGCTAGCTTGAACTCAGAGCTCCATGTTTGCTAGGCAGGTACTGTACTTGAGCCATGATCCCAAACCCTGGTTTTTATTTTTATGAGGATCATTTTTCTTTAAGCATTTCTTTTCTGTAAAGTAGCTATTTCTCTTTAAGAGTAGCTTGTTCCTGGGGGCTGGGAAGGTGGCTCAGTGGTAGAGCGCTTGCCTTGCATGCCTGAGGCCCTGGGTTTGATTCCTCAGCACCACATAAGCAAAAAGAAAAAAGCCAGAAGTGGCGCTGTGGCTCCAGTGGTAGAGCACTAGCCTTGAGCTGAAGAGCTGAGGGACAGCGCCCAGGCCCAGAGTTCAGGCCCCACGACCGGACCCAAAAAAAAAAAAAAAAAGAGTAGTTGTTCCTGATGTGAGTATATGTTGAGGTGCAATCTGGAAGTACTGGTTTAATATTTCCATACCAGTGTGCCTTAACAGGGTTATGAGTGTTAGGATATAATTTCTAGGATAATTTCTAGCTTCCTCTCAGCCCTCCCTACTCATCTTTCTTCCCATGTGTAACTCCATTTCACAGTAGGTATATTTTTCTGAATGTAAGGCTATTGGCAAATTAATGGTGCCAGAGTAGCTTTTTAGAGATCCTTTCAAGTTTGAAGTACTGTATGTGGTATGGCTTTGTTCTGTAGAGTGCAAAGCCACTAGGCCAGCTGTGTGAACTGGAGTTCTTTCATTGTGGTGCTTCTGACTACAGAGCCTGTCCTCAGTTGAAATCAGACTTAGCTGGTTTTGGGCGTTGTTCTGTTTTGCAGTTTGTGGCAGGCGACACATGGCTGAACAAGATAAGAAGGGTTTTATTCTTGTGTTAGGGACGTGCTGGGGCCGGGATGGAATTCAGCTATGTTTAGGGTCTGATTGGTCACTTTGGTTACTGCGAACTTGGTTACATCCTGTTATTATTTTGCAGTTAAATTAACACATTCATTTGCTCCCTTCTCTTGCCTTAAGCTTGTACTGCTCAGCCTTGATTATTTGATCGTGGTGGTGGTGGTCAACCACCCGCACCTCCTCCTCCTCCTTTTTCTTGATCTAAAACTTACAGTATGTTCACAGTAGTCATACAGCTTTTTAAAAAGTCTTAAGTAGTTTTATGGATACTTTACAGTTTTTTGCTTTGTCACTTCGATGAGACCAGGAGATTAACTTCACTGTCGAGAATGATCACTAGAAAAGTAGTAAAAATGCTGTCCTTAAGTATGCATTGGTTGCATTCAGACCTAAAATAATATCCTAATTGTTTCCAATCCTCCTACATGGCTTCTTCTGTTCCTAGAGTTTAGCTTCTGTGACATTTGGAATTTCTTCTGAGAGGTAGAGAGGAGAGAATGCTCTTCAGCAAACTCAAGTAATTCCACGTTAGCTTCTGTAACAGTTGAGTTTACTGGGGAGGAGGTACAGGCAAGAAAGTTACAGGGGTGTTCATAGAAGAAAATGGGCTTTTACTTTGCCTAGGGTTTCCAGATTTTGCTGTTACGTTGTAGATAAAAGCTTTGGATGTACTGCAGTTTTCTTAGCATTGAACCCAATTTTAATCTTGTTTGACTTAAGCACACTCTTTGAATATGGAAACCTGTAACTTCATATGCAGTTAGCATTTTCATTTCTGGCATTTTTTTCTTCAAATGTTGCCACGTTGCTTTTGGGCAGAAAAGAAGAGTTCATGTCAGTTTGTTTTCAAGGTTGCACGAGTCATCTGCAAGGTGACATTAATTGTAGCATTTTCTTGTAAAGCCATTCAACTGATAAATGCAAAATGAAAATTGGGGACAAGAATCACAGTATAATCTTGCCATTATTTTGCTTTCATCTTTTAAAAAATTGTTCAGTATAAAATCTTAATTCATATAGGTATGCAATAGAGCAGTCACTCGTACAGTTTCACATGATTCAACAGGTAGAGTCCAAAGGAAGTTAGAAAAATGTTCCTATTCAGGGAAATGACAGAGGAAGTGTATTTGAAATCATTGCAAAAAATCATTACCTGGGGATACCACTTACCACTGCTGCTTTCAATTGTTAACACACAGTGTGGGGCACTGAGTGAATGCAGGCTTTTTCTTTTCTTTTTTTTTTTTTAAACAAGTTTGAGTTTTCCACAAAAGTGAACTTGGTGGTAGGTATTTGTGGAACCATAAATGGTGGATTTCCATATTATTCTGTGGAGGATTATCATCGTTGGCAAAGAGTTGTATAAATCTCTAAGTGGTTGTCTCTTCTCAGAGTCATCAAGAAGGGCTAGGAATTGCTTCCCAAATCAGCGTGGGTCACAAAAACAGCAGGATATTTAAATGGTTCTTTTTTGTTGTTGTTGTTGGTCGTGGGGCTTGAACTCTGGGCCTGGGTGCTATCCCTGGGCTCTTCAGCTC